AATGTCCACTATCATTCAAAAGGAACCATCAGTCCAAACAGTCACTTCATCTGAACTTAAACCTGGACAATATGCTGCAGTAGTCTATGATGACAAGTGGTACATTGTTTGTATTGACCAAAGATCTGATGAAAATCAGGACATTTTTGTCAGGTTTATGCATCGCGGGGCATTTGGGAACAATCTGTTTTGGCCAGAAAGCAAAGAAGAATGCTGGATTCCATTCATCCATATACTGACATTAGTTTCTGTTCCTGCTGTCTCAGGTGGAATGGGACGACAATACAGATTGCCAGCTGAGGATATCAAGAACGTTGAAGCATGCTTTGAAAACTTTCAGGCACAGATGACTAAAACCACTTAGTGGTCAAGCATTTGTGGAGGCATTTCCTAGCAAAATGACTTTGGTAGCTACAAAGTGCATGTCTTTCCTAGTTGATATTATTTGTGTCACTGCAACTTGACAGGTCTCCTACATGTACATGTACCCTTTTGGTCTTATTCTATGAACTCATTTTGTGGGCTTTGTTCATTCAGAATCAGATACCCAGGGTAATGAAACAAAAACTGTGATTGGTGATTTTTGCTACCAGACCCTTTAGTCTAAAATGTCCTTTCAGTGTAGAGAGATGAATAACTTCATTATGAGTCTTTGACTAGATATGCAGTACAAAAGAATTTGAGGTAACTTCCACTTTGAAAAGAGCAGATTTTATGAATATGCATTAAATATTCTACATATATTGCTGTTCATTTCTGTGTGTCAAATCATAAAGTGTGGCAAAACCTGGACAATAAATTTTTGATGATTTCTATGAAACAGGGCATAACACACCCCTGGTTTTTATTTATTTTCAAGATGAGGTGATATGAAGTAACCCCTATTTTTTTGAGTAACATATATACATGCAGACCTTTGGTTCTGGGGGGTCGAAAAGGGGTACCTCCAAAAATGGTTTTTCAGAAATATCTCCATAATCACATTAGATAGTAATTCTGATTACAGAATATGAATCTACATGAAAAATTACATAAATACACCCAGTTTCATCTCCATATGACATATAGCCAGTTAGTTATCAAGGAAAAGAGGATTTCAAAAAGGGGCGTGGCACGTCTCGAAGTGCGTCGAGGCCAAAAATAAGGATGGCTGCCATTTTTTAACGAGCGGGAGTTGGGACAAAAAAATTGGGGGATTTTGTTCTCATGCCAATACCAACAATTGGTGAAAAAATCAGCTAAATCTGTGATCATGTGGTGGAACCCACTGG